ATGATAATTGTTTGTTAGCCTGAGATTTTCACTTTTATAACGTTCAGGTAGTGAATTCCAAGCACATGGATGTTCAAAGAGGTAAACTCGAGGTTGAGCATCAGCTTCAAGAGGAATTATAGCCAACTCTTTGAAAATGAAATCGTTGCAGGGTTTCTTGAAGCCTTGAACGTCTACGATGAACTCCATCCTGGAATAGAAATAAATTTCTATCCCAGGAACGTGAGTTATATACCTCTCAGTTCAACCCCCACTACTTTCATTTTACCCCCTCCACTGCTTTACATCTTCTTAACTATACCGCTGATTGGTTTATACTGTACAATGCGATCATGTATGATGAGGCAATAAGCAGTTGTTTCAGCAGGTATATTATTTCTAGCTTCAAATTCCAAACGTACATCAACTGACGTTTGTTTGAGAAACTCATTTTGTTTTAAATAATCAATAACAATTAGAGGAGCCAATGATTTAAAAGTGTCAAGCTTCAATATGGGTTCAGAATCTCTTCCATAGTAGGAAGATTGAAAATTTGGAATCCAACAATAACATATCGAGGCTTCTCTAATTGTGTTGATGATTTTATTTGCCACATGACTCTTGTACTTGACGGAATTAAAGGATATTCAAACATTTCCCATGATCGAAAACTCATTGAAATTAGTGGATCTTTCTCGATAAATTTCAATAATTTGATTATATTATTATCAGAAGGTAAAACATATGGCACAAACCATTCCACTTTATTAATTTGCACTTTGAACTGTTCATCTGCACCTTCGCCCATTTGAATAGTAGAATTTAAATCACTACGTGCTCTTATTAAAATCAGTTCATGTTTCGCATTCATAACAATTTTTTTATAATCTTCAGCAAAACCAAAAATCATACCAAGTGGTATTGATACATCAAAATATCCATCTTGTAATGGCATTCTTGTATTTATTTCCACATTCAAAACTCCCGCATTTTCAGCGCGGTTAAGTTGAGGTGGTGTTAAGGAAACCAAGCTTTTCATAGTAGTTGTATGTCCAACGTACTTGCAACGGTCAATCTCAATACCATTCAATTCATAACGAATTTCATCAAACAAATAGGCTATCGCATTGTTGGTGAAATGAATATTTTGTGTGGCATCAGTTCCATCAGCATTAGTCAACCTTCCAAAAATATGTAATACACTATTGCTTGGTAAAATAGATAAATCTTGATTTTGTAATACTACATTCAATGCGTAGAACATTCACTTTCAATATTTTTACAGGTAAATCGGAGAAATGTTTTAAATTCGGCCTTAGTATGCGAGCAGTGAATCCCAATAAACTACCAATAGAATCTTCAGGAGTAAAGTCAATCGAAAGATTTGATTTAATATTGCATCCTAATGTACTATTGTTGGAATCTATTGCTAAATAATCTTCATCTGGTAATTGACGCCGCAAATATTCTTCTATATCTTTAATTTCATAACTACCTGTAGGTATAGTAAACTCAAAATCATCTATGTAAAATTTGTTGGAACTTTCATCAATATTAGGAATTGAGTTATATGTAAATAAATCAACAAGTCCAAGTGTATAATTTTTATTAGGTGAAAGTTCAATAGGTGGGAAGTATGAAGCCTCCAGAACTGAAAACTTTCCCGTTAACGTTAAAGTAAAAGAGTCATTCATGTTGGACATCTACTTTTATACTGAAGATTATAATTGTTTTCATATTCTTATATAGATTAAAACTGTTCTTAACGTTAAGTTGCTTACATAAGAATTTAAGACATAAATGACCACATATAAATGTATCAAAATTTTGATATCTCTCATGATTATATTTTATATAGCTACCAACACCTAGATAAACAATGAGATCCAATGGTGGTGAAAGATTTCCAAAACTATCAAAATATTCAGTTTCATTGTTTATCTTTTTATATGCTACCCAATGTGTTCCAGAACCTTCTTTATTATCAAGATTATTTATGGCTGATTCACATTTGTAAGGTCCTGTAATAGGTAATTCATTTCTCATAAAAACTCCACGAAATTTAGGTATTTTCATAAGTTTAGCATATTTAAGTAAATCATAGTCGGTTAGTCCGCGGTGAGGTAGCTTCAATATTAGTTTTTTTGAACACTCTTTGTATATTTCAATCCTTTTCCTTGATGTGGTTTAATATAAAGACCAAGTCCTTTACGATAGGGTTTCAAATATATATCCTTTCCTATAGCAATGGCCTCCATTGTTTCATTATGTCGATGAGCTTCTGAAAGTTGTTTTTTAGCAGCATTAGCATCATTTACTGCTTTTACAATACCACTGACTCCACCACTAAGTGCTCCTAATGCACTAAGCCCGGCAAAAATTGGTATTAGCGGTAAAATACCGCCAACTTTTGAAGGTACGGGAAGAATTCGAGATGATGAAATATTACAATTACTACCAAGATTTTTAACTGCATTTTGTGCACCAATCATTGCTGTTTTAATAGTGTCCGTTGCGTTATGATTATTTTTCATATTATTTTTAGCAGCATGAATAATCTTCCCTAATGTCATGCGTTTATTTTTCTTCGAAATTGTATTCTTCTTCTTCTTCACAATCTTCTTCTTAATATTATTATTATTAATTTTTAAACCCATCCCAAATTTAGATTTAGCTTTCATTATATTAGTTACAGCTAATGCAGCTGCTTTTTCACTAATTTTAGCGTCCTTGGAAATTACTCGTTCCCACGCCTTTTCAGCTAGTATTTTGTCTGCAGTATTTCTTGCAGCCATGTCTTTATCTTTTGAATAGGCTATATCATGCTCCTTACAAGCAGTATCCAAAGAATTTATACTAGGATCCCCTCGTGCAAGACGTTTTGCCAAGTTTGTTCCAGATCCACAACATTGATAACCAGGAATGAGACACTCGAATGGTAATTTGTTAATTAAAGTATTGAGAAATCCTTGAACACTGCAAGAATTTTTCTTCACTTTATCGTGAGTAATCATTCCTCACTCGACAATGGTCTATAACCAACTGATTGAGGTCGACTATATAAGTGGGGTGTTTATAGTTTTTTTCGTTAGTCAATTCCAAGATGCAGTTCAAGGTACGAGCTGTACAACTCCCGATTGCAAATGTGGATAACCTCATTGAAACTAAAGATAATGGGGTTAAACGACAAGGAAGTTTATTTTCAAATAGTATTCGAGCAGCTTTTTGTGGACCTTCAAATTGTGGAAAAACGAATGCACTTCTTTCTCTGATTATACACCCGAATGGTATAGGATTTGAAAATATATATTTATATTCAAAATCATTACAGCAGCCGAAATATAAATTTTTGGAACAAGTACTTAGTAAAGTAGATGGCATCGAGTTTTTCCCATTCAGTGAACATGAACAAGTTGTTACACCTAAAGATGCAAAAACTAATTCAATTTTCATTTTTGATGATATCGCTTGTGAGAAGCAAGACAATGTTAAAGCGTTTTTTTGTATGGGGCGACATGTTAACGTCGATAGTTTTAATCTTTGTCAAACATATGCTCATATTCCAAAACATCTTGTTAGAGATAATATTAATTTGCTTGTGCTATTCAGACAAGATGAAAGGAATCTCAAGCATGTTTACAATGATCATGTTAATACAGATATGACGTTTACACAGTTTCGAGATTTATGTTCAGTATGTTGGAACTCTGACAGATATGGATTTGTAGTTATTGATAAAGATAGAAATATAAATGATGGAAGATATAGGAAGGGATTTGATTGCTTTATCCAGTTATAAATATTAAGCATTTCAAGAGAATTGCATTAGTTCAGTTTGAGACTTTCATAAATAAACATGTTTCGAAAGGAGCGAGAGACACTACATCAAATAGCTGCAGCAAGTGATGCTATACGTCGAAAGCATCGTATTCTTAAAAGTGGCAGAGAGTCAGCTGAAAATATATTGAAAGAAACCTTTCAACCATTAGTTACTCCATCGGAAAAATTAGTAAATATAACTAAAAATCCTATAAAGATTGAAAATTTTCAAAACCATGTAAAGAAAGAAGAAGAAGAAGAAGACTTTGAATCATCTTTTAAGACTGCCATTAGTAAAGATACACCTTTCAACAAATCTATTTATAATGATGATGTAACGTTTTATGATCCTATTTATGAAGAAGAAGACATGCAAAATTTATCAAAAGAAAATATAATTAATAGATTGTCAAATTAAGAGAATCATAATGTTATTAATAATGAGCAAAATAATAATATACTTAATGATGACTTTCATGAGCAAGGCATGTACGATATTAAAGATGAAAGTAATGTGGTTAATAGTGTGGAAGAAGATTCTGATAAATTAACAAAGAAATTTCTACAAATGTTGGACAAAAATAGAAAACAATGTATAGATACGGTTTATGGAGTACGTAAACTTCCCGACGGTACATATATGATTGGTAATACGCAAATTGATTTTGAAGGTTCTTACATTAATCTAGTTGGGAAAAAAAAATATTCTAAAACGGATGGATTATTAGAACTCATATTCCGTCAAAAACCTGATCAGAAGTTAACAAATGCTAATGATTTCGTAAACTATAAAGAAATCCTGCGTAGTACGAATGCATATAGAAAGAACTATAGCCCAAATAAACCTATTCGTAGTAATAAGACTTTCAAATATACTAATGTTATTGCAAAACTTTTGCTGAAATCTGGAGATTCTTATTTGAAGAGAAAAACTCAATTACCACAATTTATGATGGTGAGGAAAGAATCATATCCAGACTATGTCTATTGGGATGATCCAAATGAGATTGTTGATCGTCTACGCTTACTTGTCGCATCACAACAGGCTGGCAATTCAAGTCATAACAATGAAATTATGTCAATAATTGAAGAGTTACTGGAAGCTCAAATTATATATTAAGAGTGAACTTGTAAAATCAAGATCATTATTATATTGAATATTGTTCTATCAAGATCATTTTTTTTGTTACAAATCCTTGAACATGGATGATAAAAAGTTAACAGTTGTGACAGAGTTACATAGGCAAGCTAGGAGAAATTATCCACGTCGAAAAGTAGAAATGCGTGGAATTGATGAAACCTGGCAAGCAGATTTAGTTGAAATGATACCTTATTCAAAAGTTAATAAAGGTTTTAAATAGATGCTTACAGTTATAGATATATTTTCTAAGTATGCATGGGATATTCCTGTAAAAAGTAAAAGTGGAAAAGATGTTTCTGAAGCTATGGAATCTATACTTGTGAATGGACGTGTTCCTAAAAACTTGCATACTGATAAAGGGAAAGAATTTTATAATTCTGTATTTGAAAGTTTAATGAAATCATATAAAATTAAACTGTATTCAACTTATAGTAATTTAAAAGCTTCAATTATTGAAAGATTTAATCGCACATTAAAAAATATGATGTGGCCACAGTTCAACTTACGAGGAAATTACAAATGGGAAGAAATTTTACAATCTCTTGTTAAAAAGTACAATAATAATAAACATCGCACTATCGGAATGAAACCTAAGGATGTCAGCAGAGAAGATGAAAAGAGACTGTTGAAACGCATATCCCAACAAAGGAAAATTTTATCTAAGAAAGCAAAATTCAAAGTTGGTGATAAAGTGCGAGTTAGAAAGTATAAGAATGTTTTTGAAAAAGGATACATACCCAACTAGACAACTGAAATATTCACCATCACTCAAGTAAAATCAACAAAGCCGGTAACATACAAGCTGAAGGATTATCAAGATCAACCCATCGAAGGTGGTTTCTATGTAGAAGAAATTTCCAAAGTCAAATATTCAGATGTTTATCTTGTAGAGAAATTTCTCAAAAATCGTCATAATAAAGTCTATGTAAAATGGCTTGGATTCGATAATTCTCACAATAGTTGGATAAATAAATTAGAAATTTAAAATTTTCTAAAAGTTAAAGTTAACTTTTTTAAAAGTTATATGTAAAAAGCATGTAAATTTTAAGAAAGTTAAAGTTAACTTTTAGAAAAGTTAAAATTAACTTTTTCAAAAGTTAAAGTTAACTTTTTGAAAAGTTATATGTAAAAAGCATGTAAATTTTAAGAAAGTTAAAGTTAACTATTTGAAAAGTTAAAGTTGACTTTTAGGAAAGTTAAAGTTAACTTTTTCAAAAGTTAAAGTTAACTTTTTGAAAAGTTATATGTAAAAAGCATGTAAATTTTAAGAAAGTCAAAGTTAACTATTTGAAAAGTTAAAGTTAACTTTTAGGAAAGATAAAGTTAACTTTTGAAAAAGTTAAAGTTAGCTTTTGAAAAGTTAAAGTTAACTTTTAGGAAAGATAAAGTTAACTTTTGAAAAAGTTAAAGTTAACTTTTGAAAAAGTTAAAGAAAAGTTAAACTGACTTTGAAGTAATGTTAATCTAAAATGTAATAATGTATTGTATTTATATTGAAGTTATTTTTTAAAAAAATTTGTATAAAATGTATACTATTTAGTGAATTTCTTTATTTCCTAATTGTTAAACTATATTAAGGTTCTATTAAATAAAGGTAGGCAAAGTTTCAGAGTATATAGAAAAAATTTTTCATTTATTTAAAAACCAATGTGTATAACAACATTTATAAAATATTGATCAATATAATAAAGAACATCAATAAATATTTATAAATATAGATAAAATTACATTTTTTCTTTTCTATTTACAATATAATACTTATATTCTATTACAATAAATACTTAAATTCTATTTTATAATTCTATCATTTCTACATCGTTTTCTATGACTTTATCTCTTTCTATAATAGAATGACCCCATGCAAGAGTGTCAGTGTTGTGTTTCAATAAAAATCTTTTGTCATCGTAGGGACTTAGGGCTATTTTTTTCTGTTTTAAAGTAAGGACCTTGTGGAGTTTGGAGCGAATGGAATATTGAGTTCGAGATTGGATTTTAATATTTTTTAAACAATAAATGTAATCATTAAAAGTTATATGTTTCTTAACTACATTAGACTTTACACCTTTTGCCTTTTTTAAGAAATCTTGATTATCTACACGTAAACTATACATTTTACTACGCAAACCAACAAATTCAGTGACAATCCTCCCATTGCATTCGTCTTTCATAAGACCTAACACTTTTTTGTTGGCTTGCGGAATGCCATATACATTATTCATGGGATACTCAGAAGTATCAAATTTGAAAATGTCTGCTTTCATATCAGAATAGACATCCTCACATTTGATATTATAAATAAGGCTGTCAGTGTCAGTATAAAGTAGTTTACAGTTGTTTCCATACTTTTTCCTCATATAATCATAGTGAAAATTGTACATTAAAGTTTTCGAAATATCTAAAACGCTAAGACTTATATAAATCGGCTTATTCATGTACACCTCAGTCTTCCTAAATTCCACAGCTATCAAATTTTCGCTAAAGATAGTTCTCGTGTGGAAGTTAGGTTTAGCAATTAATGCTTCTGCCCCATACCTACCCTCCCACTTTGTCACGAGTTTTACGTTTACGTGATTACGTACATTCTCCATTGTCTTCCCATACAACGCATTGTTCATTAATTTAAACAAGTTTTTCTCTAATTCATTACTAGCCTTTGTTCGTTGACTAGTATTGAAATCGACATAATCTTTAAACCAAGTTGACTGTTTAAATTGTAAAATGCGGTGGATGTAAACCAATTTAAGCCCATTGGCTAATGCTTGTTTAAGTGCACGATAATGGAGAATGTATTTTCGTTTAGGTTGGAGAGTAGTTAGAAGCTTTTCTTGCTTTGACCCTGGTGGTTTCAAGTGTTCAGGACAAAATGGGAAATCATTATGCATATTATGTAGTTCTGTAGGATAATCTAAATCAACTTCCAAAATATAACCTATAGTTGCATCATCTGCAACGTTAAAATTAAAGCTATTGTCAAATTTTAAAGCCCACTTGAAATCACCATAGGGAAGACCCTGTACCATGGCCCAACCATACAGATTATTAGCGTCTAAATATACAATGTAAGAAGTCTCCTCATTGACATTGTGCTCTTTCATATATTGATTATTTGCTTTGGCATAACGATTTGTACATTGACTTATGCCGCCTCTTATACCACGTTCAATAAACATTATCAAAACAATGTCAGTGAGCAGTTCTAGTTTTACATATGTATATTTTAACATAGCATCCCAAGTAAAACCCGGTGTCGTGTAATAGTGTGCAGGATCTAACCCTTATGCTTTTAAGCATTGTTCACGGAAACTTTCAAATACATCAGCAAGCAGTAAGATGTCAGTTTTCATATATAAATAAACATAATCACTAAGACTTTTACAATTAAATTCTGCCCATACTTGCTGAGCATGTAAATAATCTTGATCTGATATATTTGAATCATTCAATGTACTATAAAAACATTCTTTTTGGGGTAACTGAGTTTCTTCGAGTTTTTCCTTAGAGTCGAGATACTCGTAAGGAAAAACTCCTTTTCGGGTTAACAAATTAACTTTATTATCGCTATAGGTTGAAAAGTTTGATTTAACAATTTTATATTCGTTTAAATATGATGCTAATTTGTCTAAAGATGATGCCATAAATCTAAATGAATCAATGAATCTAAATTTAATCAGACTAGCTTCAACATGTTTTGTAAAACTAATATATTTTTCCTTATTAATGGGAAGAACGTCAACTTTACCTTCAAACTCATTCGCGATTGCTTTAATAATAAAATGTGCATCATAACCACTTAAATTATGGAAGACTACAGGAACTATTCTAGAATCTTGATAATTGACATTACAATCTTGATGGGCTGCACCTCGATACACCCCAGTCAGATGGCAATGATCTCTAACTTTTACTTCTCCATGCTTGATAGTTTTCATACAAATGCACAGTGGTCGATTTCCAGAAAAACCTGGCCAAAAATCGAAAAATGATACGATTTCAACCAAAATTGGTATACCCATGTTTTTTGGGATTCTGAATTCAAATTTTACATTGGTTGTGTCAAATTCAAAATGGCGGATCCAAAATGGCCGTTTAGATTTAAAAAAACTTTGCTGAAAATCGAAAAATGATACGATTTCAATCAAAATTGGTATACCCATGTTTTTTGGACTTCTGAATTCAAATTTTACATTGGTTGTGTCAAATTCAAAATGGCGGATCCAAAATGGCCGTTTAGATTTTAAAAAACTTTGCTAAAAATTAAAAAATGGTACGATTTTAACCAAACTTAGTATACTTACGTTTACTGGGTTTCTGAAATCAAATTTTACATTTGTTTTATCAAATTCAATATGGCGGATCCAAAATATTTGCTGGTATTATAAAATTGCGTATATGTGTTAGAGTTTATTTTTTTTAAATTACAGAAAGTGCTTAAATTTTAGTTTAAAGCGAATGCGAATGAAGAAAAAGTCAGTCTTTCACGTTCAGTTGCACCGCCGGCCGGTGCAACGCGCTGTCGGTAAACCGCGCTGGGTGAAATAAAAAGTGATACCAAAACTGCAGGGGCAGCTTGGGGCAGCTGATTTCAATTAAAATGAATCAAAAATATATTCTAGTTTATGATAATACCAGGTAGGGTGCGGATATCGGTGGATTTCACAACTATTTTCATGATTTACGTTGATAAAACAATACAAAAATCGTAGCCATGAATAGCGATGTTTAATGTCATTTTTTAAAAACTGTACGTTGTAAATATGATGATAAATACATTCAACCTATTTCATACACCTTTGTTAATAGTTCCTAAAAAAAGATATTCAAAAATCTGCTGTATATTAGTATATTTTCACTATTTTAACTGTGACGAAAATTTATAGTTATGAAAGGTTCTGAGTAAATCTCTGGCAAAGATCACTTTTACTTGTTCACATAATAAATTGGTGATGAAAAAAGTGTAATTTTTTTTTGCAAAATTATGCAGTGAACCCTCCTTTATAATATTCAATAATAAAAAGTATAAATTTCAAAAAAAAAATTTTTGACTTTTGGCCAGGTTTTTCGGGAAATCGGCCACTGTGAAATGTGGCAAATATTAGCTACTTTAAATGCGGCTTTTTGATCTGCATTTAGAGTATCCATTGCAATATTTACCATAAATGTAGGTTCAATTTCTTCCGCCAACTTTTTCAACTCTTTTACAAACCATATCGCCGGATCTTCTTCATTCTTAGGTGATGCCCTGTATTCATTTAAAGAGTCATCATAACTCTTTAAATAGAATCCGATACTGAGAAGTTGATGTTGTTGAACTACTTCTGTGCGACATCCCATAGATGAAGAATTCTCCCCTGGAACTAGTAGACTCTCGCAATCTGCATATATGATGAATGGTACTTTTTCTTTATTACTAAAGTTCTTGAATTGAATGCTATTAGATCCGGATTTCGGTAAGATGATTTTGGTGTTATTCATTTTCTGGCAATCCTCAACGTGCTCAGTAAGTTTATCGTTGCTTCTGAAATAGTGAAGACAACGATCGCAAATAAATAACGCATGCCCATTTGTTGAGACTTGGTTATTTATTAGACGCGATAAAGATTTTATCCAAACATAGTGATATTTGTTGGAAATTGAATAATCTTCTTTATCATCATCCTCATCAATGTAGTGATCATCAACACGTAGGAGATTAACATGTTTCGAACGTTTCTGCGAGGTTAGGTGGATTGGCGAGACGGTGAATTTCCCCTTTCGTTTAATAAGACAATAAACATTTACTGAAATATTGTTAAGCACTTCGAATCTTGCAACGTCATTGAGTGCTACGGGGAACTTAACCTTTATGGGACTGAGGAAAAAAACACCTTCTATGGGCGAACGAGGTACCCGGGTACTTACGTTTAATTATTGAAGATTTTATATCAAAATTTGCAGATCCATTAACTTTAAGTGTAGTGGACGTTTCAATGAAAGTAGTAATCACAT